AGCAAAAACCTTACCGACTGAACAAACATACAAGCATATCACAAGAGCCTTGAACTAGGACTTTAGTAAGACAGGGTACATCTGAACTCACCAAAGTAAAAAGTAAAAGGACAAAGTAAAAGAAGACAATGAAGTGTCACAAATATAAACCCAAGGAATGTAACAGAAATACTTTCAGTGAGCATGGCTGATGGCAAGACAATGCTTTTCTTTGCAATTATTCAGACAGGAGGAAGGACTGCTTTGCTCGGACCACACTGACAGAATCCTGGGCATTGGTAGCATTGTGGGTGGAAGAGCTGCTTGATTCAGCTTCGGTGGTTCTTTAGCTCACAGTTTTGTGGCAGTGTTCAAGCTGGCAGGAATGGTTCAGGAGCTGGAGGCAGCTCAATTGCTTCTTAAGGCCAATCCGCAAGCAGAGAGGATTCCAGCTAGCACAGTGCCTGGCTGTAACCCACAGAGCCCACCTACAGCAAGTCTCTTCAGCAAGGCCCCACTTCCTAAAAGCACCCTAACCTCCCAAGCAGTGCCACTGGCTGGAGACAAAGGATTGAAACAAATGAACTTATGGGAGTCATTTCACATCCAAACCATAACATTCCTTGCCCCACAGGCTCACAGCCATCTCATGATACAAGATGTACTCAGCCCAACTTCAAAAGTTCCAGATTGAGACTGGAAAGCTGTGCATAGTGGCACGTGCCTGCAGCCCTGAAAATCGGGAGACAGGTGGGAAGATTTTCTTGTACTCAGGCCACTCAAGGCTAAAGTGTGAATCTGTCTTTAAAAACGAAAACTGGCGCTGAAGAACAACTCAGTTACTAAAGTGTTTATACCACATATGCAGGAGATCTGAGTTCAAATACCCAGATCCCACATAAAAAGCTGGTGTGGCCTGCAGTGCCAGCACAGGGACAGGAGGATCCCTGGGGCTCACTGGCCAGCCAGTTTAACCAAATCAGTGAGCTTCAAACTCAGTGAGAGACCTGCCTCAAATAATGTGGAGAGTAACTGAGGAAGACATCCAGTGTGCCAGCCTCTGGCTTCCAGATGAGTACCAACATATATACATGTGTGCATGTAAAAGAAAAGACAGACTAGTAACCAAGGAGGTAAGAAGCAAACTAGAGAAAAATATTCAAAATTAGAGAAAGAGATGCCAACTTCTACCAAGGCCTATGCAGTGCAAACTAATACAAAATTCTTTTTCAGTGATCAAACTGGCCAAATTAGTAAAGAGCACACATACAGGTGTGGTCTGCACACAGCTGTGTCTGCACGCTGCATCTGCTTTCTTAGGAACAAGTTTATAAAAGTTTATAAAAAATTGCAATATCTAAAGTCTGTTACTACAGTCTAAGCACGTATTCTATAGACAGGAGGCACAGCAGTGTGGAAGTACAAACATTCACAGAAGTTAGTCCCAGAATTTCTTTAAGTACAGAAAGTTAGACATGCCAGACCTGTGGCTCATGCCTATAATCCTAGCACTAGGGAAGATGAGGTAGGAGGATTATAGTCCGCTTGAGATATGCAGCAAATTCTGAGTTGACATGGGCTACATAGTGATATACTGTCTCAAAATAAACAAACGAATCAAGCAATCAAAGTAGAAGTTAAGTAAGAGATGGTACACCATAAAATGAAGGCATACTCTCTCTCTCTCTCTCTCTCTCTCTCATTCTCTCTCTCTAATAAATAAATGTAAAAAAATTAAAAACCCACAAGCTATCATGATCCAGCTTTATGCCTCTCAGATATGTACCCAAAGGACTGTAAGTCAGCACACACTACAGCTACCTATAAATCATGCTTACTGTAGCACTGTTTACAGCAGCTGAGCTACAGCAGCCTAAGTGTCCATCAACGGAAAATCAGATCAAGAAAATGCACTAAGTATACACACGATGGAGTCTTATTCAACCATAGAGAAGAATGAGATCATGTTGTCTGTAGAAAAATGTATGGAACCAGAGACTGTGTTAACTGAAATAAACTGGACAAAGATAAATGTCACGTTTTCTAGCATGATATCTAGATATAAAATAAATGGGAACATAAATGGAAGTATTGGGGCAAAGGAAAGGAAGCAGTGGGAGGGTACAAGCGAGGGTAACAGCTGAGTGGATATGGCCACAAACTCACAAACTCACAGCTCACAAACTCACTGTTCTGTGCAGCTAGTATACTGCAAAGGAGAGCATTCTCAGCTGAATGCACAACTCAGCACTGCCTGAAGTTTGTTTGTGGCTTGGCCTTCAGTAATCTAATGGTAACTAAGACATTTAAAACAGAAATGAATAGCTGGGTGTGGTGGCACACACCTGTGATCCCAGCACTCAGGGAGGCCAGAGTCAGGCGGTCCTCTGTGAGTTTGAGGGCAGCCTGGCCTACAAAGTGAGTTCCAGGACAGCCAGGGCTACCCAGAGAAATCTCGTCTCAAATAAATAAATAAATAAATAGATAGATAAATAAATAAATAAATAAATAAATAGATAGATGGATAAATAAATAAATAAATAAATAAGCAAGCAAGCAAACAACAATAAATAAGTAAATAAACAAACAATGGAAGGAATTAACCAGAAAGTGATCATCTGTCTCCCGAAACCTTCTAGAGCGTGTTACCATTGAGTCTTAACAGCACAACTCTTCTACAGAGTAAGTTCCCACGTGACAACACTAGGCCTCCCAGCACCTCGGAGTTGACACCAAGGTGTATATCAATTTTCTGAATGTGGCAGGACACAGCAGGGTTCTTGGCCTCTGTTCAGCTTCTGCTGCTGCTTCCAGTCCCTCTCATCTATACAGTCTGCACAGACAAAAACAATTCCCCCAGAAATACAACATACAGTAAGTAGATACTTAAATGTTCACATAACTATTTGCAATTCACTTTTCTGCATCTCCCATTTGTAAAGAACATTGCTGAATGGCTTTGATAGACGATACAATTCAAATCCTGCAATGATATACTATATTTCCTCTCTTCCAGATGTGGAAATTATCTCAAAAAGGTGAAGAAAAACTTCCTAAAACCTTACTGGTAAGTCAATGTCCCAGCTAGGATCTCAAGAGTTGCACCCAGTACATGCTTCCTGAAGAGGCCTGAAGACTCTAACTGGATGGCAGATGGGCAAATCAGCCTCCCATGGTAGTCTGGAACAGGTAAGCTGAGATGTAAGGGCTGGCTGTCACTACAGGACACTGCGTCCTTAGAAGCAGGCAAAGTTGGGACAGAAGGTAATGTGTAGACACAAAGGCCTCTTTTGTGGGTTAGTCAAATCGATTGAGAGTGGAAAGTAGCTGGCAGCTCTGAGTGGCATGCACTGTGGTAGGGATGACGGGAGGGAAGGAGATAGGAGCCGAAACAAACAATGAACATAATGCAGGGGCTGGAGAGATGGCTCAGTGGTTTAGAGTACTGGCTTCTTTTCCAGAGAACCATCATTCAGTTCTTGGCACCCCCAAGGCTGCTCACAAACCCCCTGTAACTCCAATTCCAGGGAATCTGATTTCCCTTTCCAGTCTGTGGACACCAGGCATGAACATAGCACATAGACATACATGCAGGCAAAACAACTATACACATAAAATTAGAAAGAAAGAAATCTCAAAAAGCAAGGGCCCCAGAAAGTCCCAACCTGATTTAGAATAGCACCTGCAAAGGGAGAAGCGCGTTTTAGAGGCACTACGAAAGGTTCTCTCAGTAACACTCAGACACTTGACTGGAGCTGAAAGAGACTGGCTTCTCAGCTCGCAAGAGAATGCTGCTGCTACTGACAGAGACAGGATGATAAGAGAGGCAGAGGGATCTGCAGACTACACATGTTAAATGACACCGCACAAAGACCCTGCTGTTGACGGGCCGCTTCTGAGGCTGACCTCCTAAGAGGCGCCACTTCTCAGGTGACGTCTGTATGGCTGTCACTTACTGATTCTTGTTCTTAACACATCAACAGCATGACACCAGACCTCTCGTGGAGATCACAAAGCGCAATGTTTTGGAGGTGTGGGGAGCTCTTGCTTAGCTGGAATGAAGCATACAGACCTGTCTCCACATGGAATTAGACTTGTTCTTGCTAGACTCTCTCACACTCACAGTGTCCATTCATCACCCCGCCCCACTACAGCTGAAAAGAGAATTTTCTTTAAGTGAGTTTGATCTTTGAGCAAAGAAGCTGTCGAGTTTCCATCCTTCATCCTGGAGTTCTAGGGTCTGCACCTTTAGACACAAATGGAATCATTCTTCTGTCATCCTTCATGCTCAGGGCCTTCGCCTCTGTCCATCTGGTGAGTTTTCCCGCTCTCATGTCACGTTCTGCCTTCAGAGAGCACCTGCTTTAGCCTGACCACAGCTTGTCACATTCTGTCATCCAAGAAGATGGTGCAGCTCTTCAGTTTGCAGGCAAGCAGAACACTCTTTTAAAATGGCTGCTACAGAGCTGGGTCTAACCCTACCCACCTGATGACACAGGAAGTATGCTCCGCCTGGCTCACGGGGCAGTCCACACAATAGGCAACACTATTATGGGCTCATACACAACTGGCTGTAATAAAACTAAATCTACTACACTGAAATTAGAAGGGAAAACACTTCCAAACATCCTTGCAGTGAGCCAGTCTACACCCTGCACACACAGTGTAACCCCAGAGGTCCCACAGGAATAGGACACGGAGTAGTTAGGTCCCCGTGGTTACATGAGCTCACACCATGCAGCACAGTGCGGCTTCCTGAACTCAGGTATTGCATTTTAAATGCACAGTGGGTACAAGCATCGCAAGCATAAAGAACCAGGCAAGGCAAATGTGTACTTTGATTCATGTGAGATTAATTTTGGCCCAAAGGTTACCATGTAAGACAATCTACCATTCTGTGTAAGCAGAATTCAGAATATCCAAGTGTGAACCCCAAGAATGCAAAATTCTGAGTTTCAACGCTTAGGGGAGGGAGTAAGTACAGCTCAGTAGGAATACGTAACTATCTAAAAACCAGGTACCTGTGAGCTTGATCTTGGACAGTCGGGCCAAAATGCCGGGCAGATCGTCAGCATGAAGCTTCATCTCCTTCCACTGCTTTTCTTCCTTTGTCTCTTTGGCCATGTCGAGGGAACTGTCCACCACGGAGGCTGCTTCCAGCTCTATCAACTCCTCGTTTGGCTTCTGGGACAAAGGCAGCCTGGGCACTGAGAGAGACGGCAGCTCGTCCACTTCTGCCCTGGCCTGCCCTGAAGACGAGTGTTCGAGGAAGGGAGAAACCGCTGGCTCTGGCTTTGGTTTGACTCGCTGGCTAAGGCCCCTGTGCAGTTGTGTGACATACTAGACAGATAGACAAACAGCACATGTTACTAAAAGCAAGGACTCAGTTAATGTCCTCCACCAATCATAGTTTTATGGTACCTGGAAGAGATTTCTACATGTGAGATTGGTTAGCATGGCCCACACCTACAGTGTGCAGGACACAGGTGTCAGCACTAAACGAGGCAGGGATAAAGCTAATGCCTTGGCTATAGTTTTAAATTTGTGGTTCAGAAAAATCTAGGCACCTAAGATCCTGACAAAGAAAGTAGATCTCTTATTCACTGACCTTTCTCTCTCTCTCTCTTTTTTTTTTAATTCAAAGTGATTTTATTGCTGGTGTATACAAGAGAATTTATGCCACTAGAGCAGAGGCTGTAGATGACTCATATTTCCAACTGGGGGGGAGGACCTGCTTAGTCTTATAGTAATGAGCCAACCGGTGAATTCTGCTCTTTATCAGAATCAAGCGGAATTTAGCATCCTTATCCTTTCTGTTTCTCTCAAGATGCTTCCGGACAGCAATGGCTTTCTTGATGAAATGGCAGAGATGCTTAGGAAGGTCAGTGGCAAGGCCTTTGGACTTAGGGATGCTCAAGATTTTATTACCAGTCACAAAACGGACCTGTGCCACACCATGTGAGTCCCTCAGGATCATACCTATCTGGGAGGGAGTCAGGCCTTTCTTGGCCAGTTTGTAAATCTGTTCCTTCATGTCATCAGACATCAACTTCAGCCACATGGGGCTGCACTGACTGGGACAGGCCCTTCCTGTGAGCGTGCATGCGACCCATGATGGTGGAGGTCTGGGAGCAAAGAGCTCACTGACCTTTCTGCAAGTTGGACTTTCTAAATACAGGGAAAGATCACAGCTAGCAAAGATCAGTGGTTGACCCCCTGAGCTCTAAAGCAAACAGTCCTGAGGGGGGCTAACTGGAAGGACTAACAGGGTCACTCATTACACCCATGTGAAAAATGGGGGAAGAACACCCGTCTTAGAATCAGCCCCTATCACCCGACCAGCAAAAACTGGCAATTACTAGTAACATTATGAGACCCTTTATTTTTCATACAATATATATTTCAGTTAATCTTCCCAACACTAATTGAAATGGCCATTATTTATGAATGAGGACATCGAACTCCTAAAATGGACAAAACCAATACACTGTTTTTAGTAAGATTTTATATTCATTAAATTTTAATTTAAAGTGGGTATTTCAAATGAAAGGTAAGATGCTTCCAAATGGAACATTGGGCGATGAATTCGCTATTCTTCCATGGTAGCACCATGAATTTCCATGGTGTATCACTATTTTATGACTCTTTTCTAGAAGACTGAGTCATCATGTTGTCAGTCTCATGGTGTGTGAACACAGATACAGGCCTGTAAGAGAACTAGAAGGTCAGTGCTACTGTAAAAGCACTGGCAAATTACAAACTCTTTATTTTAGTCTACTCACAAGTTGTGTGTGTGTGTGTATTCACATGTAGCGAGGGTACAGTCACAGGTCAACCTCAGGCTCCTTAGGAGCCCTACATCTTATTTTTTTTTAGGAAAGCTCGAGAGCTCATGGGATAGGCTGCTGGCCAGTGAGCCCCAGGAATCCTACTCTGGTCTCTTCAGAGCTGCGATTACAAGTCCTCACCACCATGGCCAGCTCCTTTCTATTGGTTCTGTTCTGGGGATCCAACACAGATCCTCATGGTGGCAAAGCGAGCACTTTATTGACTGAGACAGTCTCCAGGCCCTCAGGAGTATTTCCAAATGCACAGATGCTCTAAGAAAACAAAAGGGTCACACTGGGAAACATCTACTTCTGTCTTACTGATGTATTTACAGAACTTCAAAGAATGTATAAAAGTGCATCATACAAGTTCAGGTTTTCCTAATTTTAGCCTGGTCAAAACGTGCTATACATTTTCATTCTTTCCCCAAACCTAATCAATAAATTCAAGTTCATATATTTAACTTCAAATGCCAGAATTATTCTGGTTTCAGTTAAGGATAATCAAAACAAGAGATTAAAGTTTTGGATAAACTTAAGGGAACACTAAATAAAAGCCCTTTTCAAACAGTACCCCCTAAAACTTCTCTAATAGGAGTCTCTGCAGTTCCCTCACCCTCACCCAGAGGAAAGCAGAAGCAGGAAGCAGCTGAAGGATGGCTTCCCCTTACCATGCGCTTGAGAAAGCTCAGGTGCTGGACCGTGACCCACTGACTATTGACATTCCTGAACAGCCGCGAGACCCTGTGTGGTGATCCCTGTACAGCTCTTCTTTCCAAATACCAGACACAGCCTCCTACCGAGCCTGCAGGAGAGACAGACAGAGGAAGACATATTGGGATGACAGCTGCTCATCAAATGTGTGATCCCAACACTCAGGGAGGCAGAGGTAGGCGAGTCTCTGTGAGTTCAAGGACAGCCTGGTCTACAAAGGGAGCCAGGGCAGCCAAGGATACACAAGCCCTGTCTCAAAAAACAAACAAACAAACAAACCCACCACCAACAAAAAACTAACAACAATAAAAAAAAAAAAAATGTAAAAAGGTAGCATACGCCTTTTCTCACTAAATGCCAGTAAACTGAAATGAAGGTTTACATCCCGTTAAGGTTGAGCAGTTAAGACAACTACAAGGAAGGAAAATGATTTTCAATAAAATAGGACTATCAACCCAGTTCAGAAGAAGCTGCTTCTGTTGGGCCCAAATCTGAATTTTAATCACTTTATTAAACCTCCTGAATCAACAAATTCAGAGCCTGTCTCAGGCATCATCCTAGTCCAGCATGTGACAATACGCTGCAGCTACCCCCTTGCCAAGCCTGTGGGTACCTACCTGATCTTTTTGTAAAGTGTCTCCCCTCATGGCTTCCACAACCTGAAGTTTCTCTCTGCTCCATTTTGTGCTTCTTGGTTTCCTGGTGTGCTTCAATGTTTAGGTAGTCACTTCCACTGAATATAGCATCCCTTCCTAGAGGAAGCCTTGGAATACTTGAGCTAACCAACCAGCAGGGCTCCGTAAGCTTGGGAAGTTCTGAGATTGAGAAGACCCTTCCTGGAGTTATATAAGCAGTGGAACAGCTGCAAGGTGAGAGGAAACTCCTGCTGAAGCTGCCTGCGAGGTACACAGAGAGGCAGCCTTCCTGAGCCATCACCAAACTGGGACGGACATTCCCATGTTCTTTCTCTCTTTCTCACCTCTCTCTCTCTCTCTCTCTCTCTCTCTCTCTCTCTCCTTTCTCTTTCACCCCCTCATGATGATGACCATGAGGATAACCCTCTGGAATCTTGAGTCCCAAATTAAATTCTTCCTTTGATAAGTTACCTTGGCCATGGCGTCTCATCACAGCAACAGAAACACACACAAGACAACTACTTGTCCCTAAAAATGAGTAGTTACTAATCTCATTTCTGAAGCCTCATGAGACCTATCTACAACTACTTTTGATGTTTCCACATGAATGGATAACCGTATGGCTCTATGGCCATTTCTTTCTCACACAAATCTCTATCCTTCATCACAGGTTTCAGGGGCATCTTGAACTCTTCCTTTCTCACCTTCAACTACTCCACTCAACTGTGACATGCAGGTCAGCTCTGTCCCTCCCTTTCTCTTCCTACTGAAAGACTCTGCAGTCTGATACTGCAGCTGAGTAACGCAGCTAGAGTGAAGACAGTCACCCTGCCTTCATGCACCTCCTTTCTTCTTTCAGGGACTACACCCCGAAATGCCTGCCAAAGCAGCCCCGGCACCTCGGGGTCAACTGTTCAAATGGCTGCACCTGTATTCAGTCCACCACTCCCGGCACATATTCACACACCTGCTTTATCACAGCCATCCTGCCTCAGGGCCTTCCAACTAAGTACACACAACTGGATCAACTATTTATAGTCTCCTCCTATGCGGCCTACTCTCTACCGATCAAATTTTCAATTTCTTTCCACTGTTACATCACATTACATTGTGCTGTGTGAGAGCATGGTTTTTCCTTTTTATTCTTCTTCTCTCATGCATTACATCCTGACTGAAGTTTCCTCTCCCTACTCTCCTCCCAACAGTGCCCCGCCACACACACACACACACACACACACACACACACACGCACTCCTTCCGCTACAGCCACTCCTACTCCATTTCCCTTCAGTAAAGGGCAGTCCTCTCAGGGATATCAACCAAACACAGCATAACAAGTTACAGTAAGATCAGCCACATCCTCTCACATTAAGGGTGGACAAAGCAACACAGTAGAAGGAAAAGGATCCCAAGAGCAGGCAAAAGAGTCAGAGACAGCCCCTGCTCCCACTTTTAGGAGACCCATAAGAACACTGAACTACATCTATAGCTAACACTGAGCTAACATATCTAGAGAGAGGACCTAGGTTCCCTGATTGTCAGTTTAATCTCTGTGACTCTCTATGAGCCCAAGTTAGTTGATTCTGTGGGCCATGTTCTTGTTGTATCCTTGACCTCTCTGGCTCCCAAATTCCTTTCTCCCCCTCTTCCATGGGATTCCCCAATCTCCAGTTAATGTTTGGCTGTGGGTGTCTGCATCTGATGACAGCACTTCTTAATGCAAACTGTTCCCATCTACTGGAGAATGCAGTCCTCTGAACAAAACAGCCCCATTTCCATCAGAACGTCTGTGCCTGCTTGCGAAGTCCATCAGAATCCAGCTTGCTAGCTGTTGATATCCTTCATCAAATGGTTGGGGAGGTCTTGGACTCTCACCTGCAGTTCCAGCCACTCCTCACAGCCATTTGTTTGCAATTCTGCCCTAAGCGCATATGACCTTATGGCTGAGAGGTGCTAGAGTAATAGGCACTAGCCTGCCAGTAACCCCTCACCCATGCTCTATAAACAACCCAATAAACACATTGGTTCCCTAGGTTGAACTTTAGTAGCACCATACTTTGTTTCCTGATTAGGATATCATGGTGAGGGGATAGGCATTGTTTCTGTTTCCCCAAGCAGAGAACTCTCAAAACACTACCATCATAGTGTTCAGTGCTTTGATGGCAGAGTCTCTCCTTTAGTCCACTCTGCTACCACAGCTACTGGACGCTGGGCATGTAACAGAGTGAAATGATGGTGACTGGCTTGCTCATGTAGCCTTCCTGAACTGTGAGAACCAGTCCTACCCCTGGAAACACAAGGCGATTCTCTTAAAGTAGAGCTGAGCCAATTGACACTGAAATCATGTCCTCCAGCCACAATTACAACATGCTTACTTTCAAATGGATTGGACATGTGTTTGCGGTGGAACCCCTTTGGACATGCTTGCAAGATTAGGGGGGCCAAGCTGAAATTTTACAGAATGATAGAAACAACAGCCACTGTGGAGGGTGAGGGTGGGGAGAGACAAAGCTTGGAAACGGTATTTGTAAATAATGACAACACGAGGCTTAGCCAAATTGTAGCATGTGTCCATGAATACGTACCTAGAAAATGAAGGCTATTTCAGGCTTGGATAAGCACATGTCCACTTTAAAATATTGAGCGCTCACAACAGATACATTCAGGTCTGGAGAAATAATCACCATACCACTAGTCACCATTAGCAATGGCCTGTGACCGTGGGGCTTTGTAAAACAGCTAAGGAGACAAGTTGCTTCCCAAAGCCTTTTTAACAGAAATGAAAATAATCTGAACTTTTATAAGCAAACTCAGAAGTAGTTGCTAGTTACCTAACAACTCTAACGATCCTTCTCTGCCAACTCGTCCCATAAAATTTCTGAGAGGGATCTTCCATAGACTCACATATGAGCAGATTTTTCTGAAGATAAGCTCAATTTCAGAAAACAAGCTAGTAGTTCTCTCTAGTCCACCGCTCCAGAGACTGATCCCGGAACAGGAGGATCATATGCAGCTTAGCACTGGGAGACTCAAGAAGCAAAACAGCATTGTCCTAGAAGCTGAAATAAAGAGCAGAAAAGTAGAAAGGCTGCTCTGAGAAATATAAATACATACCTTCCATACATATATATGGAAACTATATATTTATCATATATATGGAAGTGATACATAAGAATAAAATATATAACATAAATGTGTATATATATGCATGTATACATGTACATATATGTATGTTTATATATGTATGTGTATAGATAGATAGATAGATAGATATAGATATATCTCCCATACAGAGGCTAGTCAAGTACTAAGAAAAGATGAGCCTTCTGAAAATGAGTACCAAGGTCAAGGAACACTCACAAATCAGGGACTATAGAAAGTAACAAAGAAGTGACTCGAAAATGATTCATAATCCAACCCCCAACACACACAGACACACACACATACTCTATGGGAAATGACAGTCATTTAAAAACATTGAGGTATCCAAGGAGTTCCCATTTCTTATCCCCCAACCTCGTCTATTGCACCTGGCCTTCCACTTGCTGCCCTATTTTATGAGCCAGAAGGGACCTTTGAGATCATCTAGCTTAGTTACCTTATTTACAGAAGTAAATGTTTCAATGGAGAACAGCCAAATAATCTGCCCTGAGATCACACAAGCCCACAGGAAAAAAGAACTTCACAGTAGCACTGTGATCACCACTGTCAGCCAGACACTGTGGGCAGCTTGTATGTGACAGGGAGGCCTACAAAGTACCTCTGCAACATGAGAAGGTCCTGACTTCTCCTATCTTGTCTCTAATATGGACCATCATATTAGCCATCATCCACGGACACTAGCAACAAAACCCACCTCCTCATCAGTCCTTCTACCAGCACAATCCCATTCATTGACAAATGACTGGGCATCATCAGTGTACATGTAGGCATTGTTCTGTACATGAGGGACACAGTGGTGAACTAGAGACAGATAATCTCTACCCTCACAACGTGTGACCTAATTGGGAGAAGCACAGTAATTGTTGTACACCTGTATTTCGTGTGCAAACAATCGCAGCATGTGCTAACCAGATAAATTAACGTGACATGAGAAAAGGAGGATAACGGCTCCTGTTTTAAGGAGAGGTTGTCCTCTCTGAAAAGGTAAGATATGAGACCTGTTCAAGAGTTTGAGATAAATATACATTTGTCAAAAGTCCTTCTAACAGAAGGAGCCATGCTGATGGTACAGAGATAAGACTCAACGAGATTCAGTCTGTCCTTACAGTCCTCATGGTAATCACCGGAACACTTTAAGCTGCAAGACAGCTCCTTAAGGAAGCAGGCGTGCCTGTTGTCATTAAAAGGCAAAGGATAGCAACTGTGGCTCTCATGTGCTCGAGGCTTGTGGGGCCCCACGGTTTACCCTGCCTCCAGGCTTGCACCGTCTGAAACCCCAAAGAGCACGAGACGCCAAATGTTATGGACCACTGGCCTACGGTGCAAAGCGGGACCACAGTTCCGTGGCCTCGTCCCTTCAGGCTACCCTAAAGGTCACCTCCCTGCCAGGTGACAAGCCAAGGGCTTCCAAGGTTGCAGCCAGCCGGAACCACGGTCTCGCGCGTAGCAAAAACAATGCTCCCACAATCGTTCCCAGTCGGGTACAATACCTGTGAGGAGGCGCGAGGAAAGAGTGTGCGGGGACGTGGCCATAACGCACCGGAGCAGCGGTCCCGGGGATCCCTGGAGCCTCTCACCTCACCGGCTCCTGGGCGCCGCCATCTTGCCAGCCCGCCCTCTGGGTGAGGCGGGACTTCCTGTCCGTCACTTCCGGCTCCCAGGGGGTCACTGAAAGCCGAGTTGCGGGAGTTTGAAGAGGTGTGGTGGTGGTGCGCTCGGATAGCCCTCAGGTGCTCGGGGTCTAGGTTAGGTGGACGCGGTGCTCTCGCGAGCCCGCGGCGGAGGGCGCTTCGTGTCGGGTTAGGGCTCCGGCGTCGGTCCCGGCCGCTCTGAGCTGGAGAGAATTGAATGCCTCCTGATTTGGTGTCCAGGCTGACCTTGCACAGCCTGTTGGCTTCTCGTGTTGGAGTTTGGTAAGTAAAAAAAAAAAAAAAAAAAACAGGAAGAAAGTAGCTCCTTAAAAGAAGAGTCTTACGAGCCCAGTTTTTCCTGTTTTCAGTGATGAGGTGAGATACCTGAGGTTCACCTCAGGTGCTAGGCAAGAAGCACTGAGACAGGAGACTCACAGATTTTGTAGGAGCAATCACTGTACCTCTGCAGTACCTCAGGAGGTGGTCAGTGTGAGAGTCAGCTAGATAGAGATGAGGTAGAAAGCGCTACGGAATAAGGTTAACGTTTCTGTGAGGACGGCTAAAGAAAGGCTTTAAAGAGCCAACTTGCTTCTCAGTGGAAGAGACTGAGATTTTCCCAGTTTACAAGGAAGACAGAGCAGAGAACGGGATTGATTCGCTGCGGCCAATCACAGTTCATCACCGCGGACCTAGGCTAATGGGTGTGCCCATCAAATTAATGTTATGCCGAAGAAGAGAATGGATTTAATACAATTTTGTTCAACCCTGTGTTATGCCAGCACTTTGAACATGCCTAGTCCTGTGAAATATCATGAAGTGCAAGTCGTAAATACACAAACGGAAAGCACAATTCGGAGAGACGCTCATGCCAACAGTGTTGCTTCTTGGATGTATCAGGCCTTCTGCTTTGCAGCCATCTGGGTTAATTAGTCCTACTGTACCTGAACTGGTTTCCTTCAATGACATTGGGGGGTCTGCCTTCTAATGATCATAAACCAATAAGTCTTTTACAAACGAGGCCCCAGCCAGATGGTTATGTGATATAGAACCTGAGGGCTAGAGAGATTGAGTGACTCAAAAATAGGCAACAATGTTTTCTGTCTCTATATTTTTCTCTTAAAATTTGTGCTATAAAACCAAAAAGTGGTAGGAGGACTGCACATTCCTCAGATGGTTATAGAAGAACCCAAGCAATAGCAGGGGTTGGCAAGTTTGTGAAGAAATGGGAATCCTGATACATTGTTTATTAGAGTATAAAATATTGCAGTCACTTTGGAAAACAGTTTGGGTGTTCCTCAGTAAGTTAAACTCAGTGCTACCTCATGACCCAAGCTACGCCTTTCCCTGTTATATACCCAAGACAAATGACAGCATTCCTTCACTCATAATATCATAATACCCCAAAACGGATATAACCTAATGCTCATCAACCGATTATACACAGTCTGTGATATATACACATAGGAACCTATTTGCCATGGAATGGAAATAAAGTACAAATACATCCTACAACCATGAAAAAAACACTAAATTAAAGAAGCCAATCACAAAAGTTCATGTATTAGATAGTTTCCATGTATATGAAAATTCCAGAAGATATAAATCATTAAAAGAGGAAGTAATTAAGTAATTATGTGGTGCTAGTGAAAGGGATAGGGAGAAAAGAGGAGTGATTGTTAATGACTACAAGGCTCATTTGAATAGAGGGAAGATGAAAATATTCCTAAATTGGTTGTACAACTCTGAATATACTTAAAACCATAGTGTAGACAGATACCAATTAGTCAGATGTAAAATCTGAAGAGAATGAGTATTATTTTGTAGAAATGATCTAAAAACTATCCAACTCAGTCTCAGGGTGTCTATTGCTATGAAGAGAAACCATGACCATGGCAACTTTTATAAAATAAACATTTAATTGGGAGTGGTTTATAGTTCATAGATTTAGCACATTCTCATCATGGTGAAAAGCATGATAGCGGGCATAGTGCAAGAGATGTAGCTCAGAGTTCTACATCCGAAAGAGACTGCCACAGTAGGCCTGGCTTGAGCATCTGAGACCACTAAGCCCACCTCCAGGGACACACTTCCTCCAACAAGACCACACCTAGTAGTACCATTCCCTTGGGTCTGTGGGGGCCATTTTTATTCAAACCAGCACAAACTCCCTCAGTTTTCATTTATCATCATGCTAGCTTCTCACTAATAATGTGTTCCCCTGCCTCTGCTTAGTATTCCCTAGAATAAGCAAGCCTCCCTTCTGCAAAGAAGACTTATAATAAGGATATGTAAAGAACAAATATATTAGTGGACACGAATGAGAGTGGTTTCTTTGTTCCCTGGTACTAAGGGTTTAACTGAGGCAAGTACTCCTAATACTGTACCTCCAGCCCCATGCTGGTTCTTTGAAGGACTGAAAAAACTGCAAGGGGACTCAGCTACTACTAGGGAGTGACGTCTTAAAGAGGTGCTTCCAGGAAGTGTAGGCAGATGGCAAGCAGGGAGGAAGAGAAACTAGTCCCTTCTCCCTCTACTCTTGCTGCATCATAGCCCTCATGGACAGAGCCATGCAGGGCACTGCAGTAATGTAGGTGGCCTGTTCCAGATCTAGGCACAGTACAGTGTGGCAGCTTTGCAGGTTACTGATGGGGTTCTAAGAGTAGATTTTCTACTCTTAAGTGGTTGGAATTTACAGCCTCTTGTGGTCTTGTCCACCCAACTCAGCTCCTCAGAGTTCCTCATTGGTCCTCCAAGGTGACTGATCACATCAGGGTAGGACCATCCTCTGTGATCATTCCAGATAGAAACCTCAATTGTAGTCTGCCAGCACCCTTTCTCATCCTTACTTTCCAGGGCTCAACTCCATATGTGAGATTTGGGATACTAAAAGTGAAAATTGCAGTTATTTAGAATGGGAGGCAGAGGCAAGAAAATACAATAAGTTTCTCTTTGGCACCTTTGTAATAAATAGACCCTGATTGTGTTGAAGAATTCCCAGTACCAAAGGAACTCAAAGTTGCTTTAAGACAGCATAATTTCATTCACCCTTACCTGTCACTCTGTTTTCTGGAGTTTCAAACAGTAGGATGGCTGTGTTGTACAGATAGAAGAAGAAAAAGAGAAGCCTGCTGGTGAGGTTCTGGAGAAAACACTTGTTTACTGTTGAACTGAATATGTAATGGGAAGTGTTCTTTCTGCCTTGCCTGTTTTATTCTCAGGAAACAGGGTTGAGAGTGAAAATTCCTGGAGCTGAGGCAGCCATCCTGAAGCTACGCACTAACAAGGCTAAAGAATAAATAAACCCCAGTTTCCTGCATCCTGGGTGATGTGTTCAGTGAATGGCCTAGGGGGCTGAACAACCTGCATTGCAGCTTGCTGAAGATACACGAGACAGAGACAGCTGGGATTGTGGCAACTCTCCAAAAGGATGCCATGCTTAGTGAAAATAGACAGATTCAAATAGAGTGGGGTTTTGTTTTGTTTTGTTTTACCTTTTTGTTTTTGAGACATGCTCTCAGTCTGTAGCCTAGGGCTGACTTTAAACTGGTGTTTTTCCTGCCTGAGCCTTCTGAGCACTAGGACTGTGGGTAAGCATCACCAGGCTGAGGTGTTAGCCATTTCTAATCTAAAATAAGTGTATAATGCTCTAAGTAACATTAAAAATAAAAGGCCATTTTGTACACATTTGTTTGCTATTGTGACTTACTGGTTATTGTGCACCCATTTCTTTTATGATATCAGAACATCTGGTTTACCGCATCAGGAAGTCATTCCTCTCCATGTTTGGTCCTTCTCAGCATCTTGAAGCCTAGTGAAGAAGATGATAAAATGTTCTAAACAGAGAAAAGAAATCCAATAAGCTTGTGGCCATCTCAAGCAAAATGCATTATGCTAACTTTGAAAGTCCCCAGTCATTACAGTCTCAACACTGTTGAAAAGTGCCAAATTCTTTTGAACCTCAAGGCAATCTCTTCACTGTGATTTCCTTGTAAGAAAAAAAAATAGTAAATTACATACTTTAGATATACAATCTCACAGGATAAAAGATTGGATCAAAGCAAGAACAAATCTCAACAAGACCATGTCCAGTATATGGGGTTTTAGTTTCAAGGGGCTTAGATAGCCCTGCTCCTCTAGCTTTACTCATAGTCTGGTTCCATTCATAAGCTGTTTTCCTTGCTAGAGGTCTCACAGTCCTGGCACCTCTAAAATACTGATGTCGCCATTGCATCCCAGTTTTCAACCTTACACCATCACACAGTGGTCTTCCAGGGCCTTGCAGGAACCGCAGCGTGTCACACATTGCCTGGATTTAGTGGCTCTCTGAAATCCATTACTCCCTCAATCTTTTTCTTGTCTTCAGAACTAGGTGCTAACTAGTTCAGATGCCAACCTAGCATGGACCTTCACCTCCTTGGTTTTGTATGCCATTGTTTTGTTGGAACAGGAACCCTCTTAGGCTCTCTTTTACAAGTTGGAGGCTTAGGTGTGTTAGGTTGTGCCCTGACTGCAGCTTTCCTATCTTTTTCCAGTGCAAACCAAGAGTCATTTCTTTAATGGAGCTAATCTTAATAATTACAGCCTCATTTCCAGCACATAATATGAAGCTGTCTTGGAGTTTTCTCTGCCAAATAAATTAATCAATTACCTTTAAATTTAACCTCAGTCACATTCTCAGGATGTGATAAAATGCAGCCAGAGTCTTTGACAAAACATCACATGGATGATTTCTAGCCCAGTTGTCAATAGAATCCTCCTTCCCTTCAGAACCCTCATGAGTTGGGCCTACATTGTTTGTATTACTCTCAGTACGACTGTCTTCCAGTCTCCCACTACAGTTGCTTTCTAAATTCTGCTTAAAACAGTCAATGGCTTTTCTAGTCCAAACTCAAAAGTCTTCTGTGTTCCTCAACACCCGCAAACCCACTTCTGCTCTCAGTTTCTGTGTTAGTTACTTTCCTGTTCCTGTGAT